TGAACGACCCAGAACTTGCCGCAAGCGACTGTTTACAATGTCTGAGAGAATTGAATAGTCTGCCTGCCGTACAAGACATATTCTCCGTTCACAGCAAAGGTGGAATAAAGTCTGTCTTCCAAAAGAAGTCGCGAACGGAAATCGTGGAAACCGTAACGATGATAAACTTGGTCTTGGCTGATTTCATCATGAGCTTCACAACGCGAAGAATGAGTGTTTTTGAATGGCCAATGATACATTGTGGTAAGAGAGTTATCCATCCAATTCATTATGATCAAAGCAGCCTGCCAAATATGAAAGAAATAGAAATCACACCACCCTGGGACGTTGTCGCACATGAAGAAGTATCGACGCGTTATGAGCTAACGCACGATGTGAAAATCCTTTATTTCTTTACTGATAGATGCGTTCTTAGAAAACTGGACAAAACAGGTGAGCTGCAAATGTACACTATATTTCCTCCTTTTGAAGAGAACAGTGAACATTCTCAGTTTACCGATAAAGACGAATTTGCTCCTACGAGAATCCATGATGTAACCGTCGATGAAGATGGCACAGTGTACGCTCTTTCTAGTAATGACAGGTTAGAAAAAATATTGTCGGTGTACAGCGCGGATGGAAGCACACAACATCCAATGAAATTCCTTGAAGCGAAATACAATTGCATATTTCCATACAGAATTGCGCTGACCAACGACAAGAAAATTGTCATTACTGTCAAACAACCTAAGTCAAATATCAAGATATTTTTATGTAAAAGCAATGGGGAACTGCTAAACAGCTTTGATACGGGTCCGAAGTTTCCCAGTACTATGTATCATAATGTGAAGGATGTGTCTGTAACCAGCGATGATGAAATAGTTCTCTTGACAACAAACCGTGAAACGTATTGCAACATGATTGGCGTCTTTAAGGAAGATGGAAAGTTACAAAGAGCTGTTAAATTTCGTGGAAGTGATGGTAAGGATACATATGGCAACCTATTTTATAACCAAGCCACTAAAACCATTGTTGCCTCCAATTGGTACGCCTTTGATGGTTGGAGGGCGATTGTGATAGATTATTTGTCTGATCAAACTGCTGAACACCAGCGTACCTACGTCCTGGATGACACCAACCTTCCACACTATTTATCAATTTTAAAGCTAACCGGCCACAGAAACGGTGCACTTGCTTTAGTAAGCGACACACATTTAATTTCTTTGCAAAAATCTTGTTCGTGAACTTAAACGAAAACCATTCAAATTTCATTCTGGACACCTTATATACCTTTAATTTCAATGAACATTTTGATAAAGACCTTTCTGTATGAAATATAGTTAAAAATACGAAATGTAAATCATGATATTTGAATATTACTATAAATAAAGTTGTCCTTTTTCAGACTGTTCTGAATCGCTTCTAGTCTCTTTATTCTTTACGTTTACTAGTGAACTAAATCTTGAACGTATTTATGACAAGACTAGTTCTTTGAACATTGAGTCAATGTTGATATAGTATGGTATTCCATATATCCAGATAAATTTAAATGAATTATCATAAGCAACTAATTATAATCCATTAAACCTGCTTGCATCGCTTGTTCAAGTGAAGCATGAAGTTATTGAGATTTCTCCTTTGGAGGTGCTGTATAAGACAGGGGGGGCAATTTTTTATTTTCTCGAAATAATCAGCACTTGCATCGGGCACTACCATTGCCCCCCCCCCAAAAAAAAAATTCTAGTCCTGAATGCCTATGGTGCAGGTGACTTTGTTGACCACAATATTCAGCCCCATGCAGTTGTGGCAATTTGATTTCCTAATCAATTATTGAATCTATGCAACTAAGTGTGCATGTGGGTAAATTCCATAGGAAACTAATTTTCCCCCAGTTTTCCCCAGATTCCCCTAATTTTTCCCTAGTTCCACCCAATTTTCCCCCAATTCTCCCTGAGCTTCCCCTGGTCTTCTGGCTTGTTGAAGGAGGTGGGTAAAGGGTAAGGTGTGGGAAATTCTTAATACAGATTATATATATATAAATATATTATATATATATATATATATATTATATATAAATTATATATATATTATCACATACTTGTGCCTTTATCAGGGCGATAACAGGGTGACATAAAAACGATATCGTCACTGATATCGCTTTTTGTCACTGATATCGCTTTTTGTCCCGCTGCATTTGCCGCTGTCAAAACAAAGATGGCTGACTCGAGCAGTTCGAGGTTTGTTTCAGTCGATGTGGATTGCTTTATAGAAGAAAAAGAAGTATGTGATAAACAGGTTATCACGATCGGGACGAGGTGATATCAGTTTTATCGCTTTCAGGACGATATCATAAATGTCCCTCGTTCGCTGCGCTCACTCGTGACATTTTATGATATCGTCCCCCAAGCGATAAAACTGATATCACCTCGCCCCTCATGTGATAACCTATACATACATATATATATATATATATATATATATATATATATATATATATATATATATATATATATATTATATATATTATATATATATATATATATACAGTAGGAGGCAAAAGTTTGAGTCCAGTCGTTGTAGAATTCCAGTATTAAATCCTGGCAGCGTATTCGAGTTAAGACATGCGTGCTAGTGTTTCAGTACTGTAAACTATATTAATTGCACACTGTTTTGGTCCTAATGATCTAAATTATAACAAAATAAAGTTCTCATTCCTTTACACTGCCCAAGATGGGTGGGAAAAAGGGCAAAGTGATGGTGCACAAGGACAAATAGTTGCATTAAGTATTGAAGGATCTTTCCTCGTAAGGTCGCAGAAAAAGTGAGAATTTAAAAAGGTGGTATGCAACTAACCTTGGAGAGGTTCGAAGAAACTAAATCCTACTCAAGCAAACTTTTAGCTGCTTTGGTCATGCTCGGTTTGGCAATATTGAAAGATATAATAGGATCCTAATTAAAGAAAGTATCATCCAATTCTTCAAGGACATGGAATTTTATCTGGTACAAAGATGATCGCACGTCTAACTATACATGATAATCACCCTAAGCACATGCACATCTTCTATGTGCCAGAAATCTTTTAGAAGCAAACTCATTCTGGTGATCTCGTTGTCATGGCTTTCCACCTCATATTCCAGATCTAAAACCTATGGCACTTGTAGAACCGTTTTAACCGGAAGAGGGCGAGGCACAGACCCGCCAGCCAGGCTGACTTGAGGCAAGTGGTCAACGAATGCTGGCAAGGTATTGAACGTGTGACATTAAAAAACCTATGGAATCTATGCGAGCAAGAATAAAGGTCATTTCAAGAGCAAAAAAGAGGGAACTAAGCAATGACTTGTAAATGCATGTTTGCACATTAAAATACGTAAAAATGAATATCATAACATCTCATAGTTGTTGTACAGCATGTATTTTTCTGTTTACTTATTTACTTTTTTCTAGTTCACTTATCGGTAAGGTTTTCTGTAGGATATTAATATATGCTGCTAAAACAATGAAATACAGTCACTGGACTCAAACTTTTGCCTCCTACTGTATATATATATATATATATATACTGTCATATATGGATCAGAGAAGATTTTCTCAGAAATTGAAGTCAAATGTATTTTTCCGATACATTCCAACTCATCTACGGGGTAATGCCAACATTAGTTTGATAACAGGATATGACAGGGTATGGTTGTGTATTTTATGAAAATACTAAGTGGTTCCCGCAATTATATGACTAAAGCTCCTCCAGGATATGACGAGGCGAATTCATTCGCGTGACGCGAAGCGAGATCTGAAATCCCGTCATGTGATTGGTTTGCGAAAAAGTTCACCGCGAAAAAGTAGAATCGCTTCCTACTTTTTATCGGTTCACGCAAATAAATTTGCTTCGTGGAAAAAGGGCTTTAGGGTATTTTATTCAAGGCTATGCATAGTGACTGTGCCTTTATTACAATTTTTATGTACATTTTAACTCCCAAAGGAAACACCAAATTTGTTTTAGATTTGTCAATAATCCACTTCAAACAACTTGTGTATACATAGGAATAGGAATAGGCATGGATTTCTTTTCTGACCTTGTATAACCTGCGGTTCTATTACAACTGCCATATTTACTTTATTGAGGATTATTTGGGTAGCACCAACGAATAGGTACAATAAGGTTATCGACAAATTTTAGTTACAGAGACTGGCCATTACTTTTCAAACACCCTAGCTGCGTGTAGTTTGGGCTATTTTAGGATAAAACTAGATTTAACTTCCTTAACTTCAAGCGGAACAGGACGTCTTGAAGGATACATGCACGGGCAAGTCTGAATGTTTTCAAACTAGTATTTTTAAACTTTGTTTCTTTAGTTATAATTTAAAAATATGAAGTTGAAGAACTATGGGATGAATTTGATCAGAAGCTTAAAACACTCGCCTGTGAGATAAATTAAAATGACTTTCACATAACAACTGCCCTGTGAAATACGATCTTGTGTTTTTACACGATAAATATAAACACTGACGCAACGTTTCAAGCGAAACAGTTGGCAATTGCTCTGTGAAATATGATCTTGAATTCTTACCCAAAATATAAAACACTGACGCAACGTTTTAAGCCAAACAGTTGAGAAAAGATGTCTGAAGTAATAACAGGTTTGTTGAAGGCTGCCTTTGGTTTGATATCGAACAAGATTCGTGATTACAGCGCAGAGAAACTCCAAGATGGAGGACTCGTTGATCAAAAGTTTCGAGGTTTGATTGTTCGTGAGTTAGACGACATTTCGTCGAAACTCGATGCCATTTCAAGGAAAGAACTCCTCACGAGCATCAGTTTTTTACAGCAAGGAATCGACCGTCTGGGAATGGCTTTGGGAGAGACTTTTAAGACCATGGACCAGCCGACGGCCGGATTACCCATCGCTGGGGCAGTCGCTTTAGCCAACGCCATTCAGAAACTCAAAATCATATCAAATGAACGTTTCGAGTCGGCAAATGATTCTTTTAACGAAGCTGGGAAAGAAGCCAGCAGAGCATTTAATATCACGACGCTGGACATTGAGGAACGAATCCTTGCGACTAAAGTTCGCATCACAAGTGGAATACTCCAGAATTTGAACGACCCGGAACTCGCCGCAAGCGACTGTTTACAAAGTCTGAGAGAATTGAATAGTTTGCCTGCCGTACAAGACATATTCTCCGTGCACAGCAAAGGTGGGATAAAGTCTGTCTTTAAAAAAAAATCGCGATCGGAAATCGTGGAAACCGTAACGATGATAAACTTGGTCTTGGCTGATTTCATCACGAGGTTCACAACGCGAAGAATGAGTGTCTTTGAATGGCCAATGATAGAGTGTGGTAAGATAGTTATCCATCCAATTCATTATGATAAAAGCAGCCTGCCAAATATAAAAGGAATGAAAATCACACCACCCTGGGACGTTGTCGCACATGAAGAAGTATCGGCGCGTCGTGAGCGAACGCGCAATGGACAAATCCTTTATTTCCTTTCTGATAGATGCATTCTTAGAAAACTGGACAAAACAGGTGAGCTGCAACTATACACTATATTTCCTCCTTTTGATGAGAACAGGAAACATTCTCAGTTTACCGATGATGGCGAATTTACTGGTACGAGAATCTATGATGTAACCGTCGATGAAGATGGCACAGTGTACGCTCTTTCTCGTAATGACAGGTTAGGAAAAATATTCTCGGTGTACAGCGCGGATGGAAGCACACAACATCACCCATTGAAATTCCTTGAAGGGAAAGACATTTATGAATCTCCATACAGAATTGCGCTGACCAACGACAAGAAAATTGTCATTACTGAAAAACGATTTTTGCCAAATATAAAGATATTTTTATGTAAAAGCAATGGGGAACTGCTAAACAGCTTTGATACGGGTCCGAAGTTTCGCAGTGTAAATCATGTTGTAAAGGGTGCGTCTGTAACCAGCGATGATGAAATAGTTCTCTTGACACTAAACCTTGAAACGGATTTCAACATGATTGGCGTCTTTAAGGAAGATGGAAAGTTACAAAGAACTGTTAAATTTCGTAGAAGTGATGGTAAGGATACGTATCACAACCTATTTTATAACCAAGCCAATAAAACCATTGTTGCTCCCGAATGGGAACGCTGTGATGATGGCTGGAAGATGGTGATAGATTATTTGTCTGATCAAACTGCTGAACGCCAGCGTATCTACGTCCTGAATGACACAAACCTTCCAGAACATATACCATCTTTCAATTTAACCGGCCACACAAATGGTGCACTTGCTTTGGTAAGCGACAAACATTTTATTTCGTTGCAAAAATCTTGTCCGTGAACTTAAACGAAAACCATTCAAATTTCATTCTGGACACCTTATATACCTTTAATTTCAATGAACATTTTGATAAAGACTTTTCTGTATGAAATATAGTTAAAAATACGAAATGTAAATCATGATATTTGAATGTTACTATAAATAAAGTTGTCCTTTTTCTGACTGTTCTGAATCGTTTCTAGTCTCCCGCGCACCAGATGTAGGTCACGTGCGAGTGACTACATGGTTTCCAATCTGTTTAAAAACTGATTTTTATCATGTTGCGTATTTAGCCAGGAAATCATTCAAAACAACAAATCTTTTTGGCGTACCACTTTAAGTCCATTTAATTCAGCTTTCTTAAAGACGAAACACTGGAATAAAATCATAGAGCACTTTCTTTTATACAGTAAAAACGGCCAAAGCGATCCTGTTGTATTTCAGTACAGACAGATTACTGGTATTTTAGAGTGTTTCAAGATCTCGGCATTCAAGTATATCGTTATTTACATCTACCCAGCACGGAAAATGCAGTTTCACCGCTATATTCTTAACGAAATATTCAAATATATGAACGATTTGACAATTTTGGCCGCTTAAAGGGAAACGTCTAGAGAAATCATAACTATTTTTGCGGCTTTGTTTGTTAAAGGTATCTTGGTCTCTCAAATCCATCATAACAGTTCATTTTTCTGCCTTGCAAATCTCTTCCTACGAATATTGAATGACCGGTATTTTGGTCGAAATTTCAACGAATGAAAAGTTAGATACGTCGATATGGCGTCTTATTAACGAAACAGTTTGATTCCGTTTTGGAATTCAAAACAAAGGCAACAAATGTGAGCCAACTTTAACACACAGGATGTATAACACAGAGGCTAGTCTTTGTAATTCAAATTAAATAAACAGGGTGAGTAAAAAAAATTGATTGCTATTGATATGAAAGTTTGCCGAGAACTTTTTAACTCACCTGAATAGACAATATAGACCGATTCAGGCTCATATGCGAATCACCATTTGAATGTTCATTGATAGTTTTGAGAGATGTTTATTTGGCAATTAATTTTCAAGAATATTCTCGTCAGAACTCATTGCATTGTTCCCACATTTGATATTGTGTTCTCACAAGAAATCACATCTATCAAAAGTACACAAAAACATTGAAAATGTGTAATTTACATACGAGGTTGGGTCGAATCGGTCTATTCTCTTGTATCCAACAGAACGCAGTTTAATAACTACAGTTTTATCATCTCTCTCGCATGATTAGAATGTATTTCAACTTCCAAAGGCAACAAGATTCATGTTTCAAGGCTGGTTTATACACTCAATTGATTGGCACAGCACAGCTAAAATTTTTCTTGACCCAATTCTAACTGAGCCCAGGCCACCAATACTAAGACCGAGCACGGATGAAATTTGTACGCGTATCCATTTTAGCCTTACCCTGGCAATAAATTGAGCGAGGTATAAACAGGGTTTTAGATTAATCAATGATTCACTTTAGGCAACTTATGTCAAATACAGTGGCTATGCGGCAAATTTGCATAAGAATAGGTCAATAGCTATCAGATGTGACTGTTGTATCAATTGAGGATGTTGAATCGCACCAGCGAATTGATACAATACGAATCAATTAAAATTACAAAGACTAGCTGCACCTTCTTAGAAACGGAACAGAACGACTTCCTTTAGTTAACTTCAAAAAATATAGACTTAGATCTATGGTCCGAGCTAGTGAATTAGATGCCAGAAGATTGAGAGGAACTTGAATCACTTCACTGTGATCACAGATACTTTCAATATTTGATACAATCTTTGTTATCACAATAGCTCTGTGTGAAATAAATCCGAGTGCAGTTTCACCGCTATATTCTTAACGAAATATACTCAATTGCAATTCAAAATATATGAACGGTTTGACAATTTTGGCCGCTTATCATCTCTCTCCCATGCATGATTTGAATGTATTTCAACTTCCAAAGGCAACAAGATACATGTTTTAAGCCTGGTTTATACACTCAATTGATTGGCACAGCACAGCTAAAATTTGTACCCGTACCTAATTCTAACCGAGCCCAGACCACCAATACTAAGATTGAGCATGCACGGATGAAATTTGTACGCGTACCCATTTTAGCCGTACCCTGGCAATAAATTGAGCGAGGTATAAACAGGGCTTTAGATTAATCAATGATTCACTTTAGGCAACTTATGTCGAATACAGTGGCTATGCGGCAAATTTGCATAAGAATAGGACAAAAGGTATCAGACGTGACTGTTGTATCAATTGAGGATGTTGAATCGCATCAGCGAATTGATACAATACGGATCAATTAAAGTCACAAAGACTAGCCCTTTTTCAGAAACACCCTGCACGTATTTTGACATATTTGGATAAAGTTAGATGCACCTTCTTTGAAGCAGAACAGGACCACTTCGAAGTAGGAGAACGACCTCTTTTAGTTAACTTCAAAAAATATAAACTTAAAGATCTATGGAATGAATTAGATGCCAGAAGATTGAGAGGAATTTGAATTACTTCACTGTGATCACAGATACTTTCAATATTTGATACAATCTTTGTTATCACAATGGCTCTTTGTAAAATAAATCCGCATTCTTATACGACAAATATAAAACACTGACGCAACGTTTTAAGCCAAACAGTTGAGAAAAGATGTCTGAAGTAATAACAGGTTTGTTGAAGGCTGCCTTTGGTTTGATATCAAACAAGATTCGTGATTACAGCGCAGAGAAACTCCAAGATGGAGGACTCGTTGATCAAAAGTTTCGAGGTTTGATTGTTCGTGAGTTAGACGACATTTCGTCGAAACTCGATGCCATTTCAAGGAAAGAACTCCTCACGAGCATCAGTTTTTTAAAGCAAGGAATCGACCGTCTGGGAATGGCTTTGGAAGAGACTTTTAAGACCATGGACCAGCCGACGGTTGGATTACCCATCGCTGGGGCAAGCTCAAACGAAACGAAACCAGCTCAGTCAGTTACGGTTGAAGAAGCAGTCACTTTAGCAAACGCCATTCAGAAACTCAAAATCATATCAAATGAACGTTTCTCGTTGGCAAACGAATCTTTTAAGGAAGCGGGAAAGCAAGCCAGCCTAGCGTTTAATATCACGACGCTGTACATTGAGGAACGAATCCTTGCGACTAAAGTTCGCATCACAAGTGGAATACTCCAGAATTTGAACGACCCAGAACTCGCCGCAAACGACTGTTTACAATGTCTGAGAGAATTGAATAGTCTGCCTGCCGTACAAGACATATTCTATGTGCACAGCAAAGGTGGAATAAAGTCTTTCATTGAAAAAAAATCGCGATCGGAAATCGTGGAAACCGTAACGATGATCAACTTGGTCTTGGCTGATTTCATCACGAGGTTCACAACGCGAAGAATGAGTGTCTTTGAATGGCCAATGATAGAGTGTGGTAAGAGAGTTATCCATCCAGTTCATTATGATAAAAGCAGCCTGCCAAATATCAAAAGAATAAAAATCACACCACCCTGGGACGTTGTCGCACATGAAGAAGGAACGTGGCGTTTTGAACGAATGCAAAATGGGCAAATCCTTTATTTCCTTACTGATAGATGCGTTCTTAAAAAACTGGGTAAAACAGGTGAGCTGCAAATGTACACTATATTTCCTCCTTTTGAAGAGAACAGTGAACATTCTCAGTTTACCGATGAAGACAAATTTGCTCGCACGAGAATCTATGATGTAGCCGTCGATGAAGATGGCACAGTGTACGCTCTTTCTAGTACTGACAGTTTAGAAAACAAATTGTCGGTGTACAGCGCGGATGGAAGCACACAACATCATCCATTGAAATTCCTTGAAGCGAAAGACAATGATAAATCTTGGCGCGGAATAGCGGTGACCAACGACAAGAAAATTGTCATTACTGAAGAACGATTTGAGTCAAATTTCAAGATATTTCTATGTAAAAGCAATGGGGAACTGCTAAACGGCTTTGATACGGGTCCGAAGTTTCGCAGTGAGGATCATGTTGTGAAGGATGTATCTGTAACCAGCGATGATGAAATAGTTCTCCTGACAAAAAACCTTGAAACGCGTTTCAACATGATTGGCGTCTTTAAGGAAGATGGAAAGTTACAAAGAGCTGTTAAATTTCGAACAAGTGATGGTAAGGACACATATCGCAGCCTATTTTATAACCAAGCCTCTAAAACCATTGTTGCCTTCGATTGGGACTTCCGTGATGATGACTGGGCAATTATGATAGATTATTTGTCTGATCAAACTGCTGAACGCAAGCGTACTTACGTCCTGAGACTGAATGACACAAACCTTCCAAACCTTCCAGAACATTTATTAACTTTAAAGCTAACCGGCCACACAAACGGTGCACTTGCTTTGGTAAGCGAGAAACATTTCATTTCTTTGCATCAATCTTGTCCGTGAACTTAAACGAAAACCATTCAAATTTCATTATGGACACCTTATATACCTTTAATTTCAATGAACATTTTGATAAAGACCTTTCTGTATGAAATATAGTTAAAAATACGAAATGTAAATCATGATATTTGAATATTACTATAAATAAAGTCCTTTTTCTGACTGTTCTGAATCGTTTCTAGTCTCCCGCGCACCAGATGTAGGTCACGTGCGAGTGACTACATGGTTTCCAATCTGTTTAAAAACTGATTTTTGTGGGTAACCACTATGCTATACGGAAAAAAACGATGAGCGATGATGCATGTCTGTCCGCCGAGTTTGTTTATCTACGAAAGAGACTGGGCACAGCCAAAATTTTGTGAGCCTGATCGGTGTAAACTTCTCTAAACTTTCAAATAAATCAAGCGCAGAAATGGTATTTCATTGGTATTTCATTGATTCTTCTTATGTCTACTTTGTTATAACTGTATCCAACTAGTAAACTAGCCCATTTTTGCCTTTGTGTATAGCATAAGAACGTAAAACTAAGCATCATGCAGTTGATTTCCATTTAAGTCCATTTAATCCAGCTTTCTTAAAGACGAAACACTGCAATAAAATCATAGAGCGCTTTACGTACGGTATATACGGTAAAAACGGCCAGAGCGATCCTGGTGTATTTCGGTACACACAGATTACTGGTATTTTAGAGTGTTTCAAGATCTCAGCATTCAAGTATATCGTTATTCACATCTGCCCAGCACGGGAAATGCAGTTTCACCGCTATATTCTTAACGAAATATACTCAATTGCAATTCAAAATATATGAACGGTTTGATAATTTTGGCCGCTTAAAGGGAAACGTCTAGAGAAATCATAACTATTTTTGCGGCTTTGTTTGTTAAAGGTATTTTGGCCTCTCAAATCCATCATAACAGTTCATTTTTCCGCCTTGCAAATCTCTTGCTACGAATATTGAATGACCGGTATTTTGGTCGAAATTTCAACCAATGAAAAGTTACATGCGTCGATATGGCGTCTTATTAACGAAGCAGTTTGATTCCGTTTTGGAATTCAAAAGAAACGTAACAAATGTGAGCCAACTTTAACACACAGGGTATATAACACAGAGGCTAGTCTTTGTAATTCAAATTAAATAAACAGGGCGAGTAAAAAAATTGATTGCTATTGATATGAAAGTTTGCCGAGAACTTTTTAACTGATCTGAATAGACGATATAGATCGATTCAGCCTCATATGCGAATCACCATTTCAAAGTTCATTAATAGTTTTGAGAGATGTTTAATTTGGCAATGAATTTTCAAGAATATTCTCGTCAGAACTCGTTGCATTGTGCCCACATTTGATATTGTGTTCTCACAAGAAATCACATCTATCAAAAGTACACAAAAACATTGAAAATGTGTAATTTACATACGAGGTTGGATTGAATCGCTCTTTTCTCTTGTGTCCAACAGAACGCAGTTTAATAACTACAGTTTTATCATCTCTCTCGCATGATTAGAATGTATTTCAACTTCCAAAGGCATCAAGATTCATGGTTTAAGCCTGGTTTATACACTCAATTGATTGGCACAGCACAGCTAAAATTTGTACCCGTACCTAATTCTAACCGAGCCCAGGCCATCAATACTAAGGCAGAGCACGGATGAAATTTGTACGCGTATCCATTTCAGCCTTACCCTGGCAATAAATTAAGCGAGGTATAAACAGGGCTTTAGATTAATCAATGATTCACTTTAGGCAACGTATGTCGAATACAGTGGCTATGCGGCGAATTTGCATAAGAATAGGTCAATAGGTATCAGACGTGACTGTTGCATCAATTGAGGATGTTGAATCACACCAGCGAATTGATATACAATACGGATCAATTAAAGTTACAAAGACTAGCCCTTTTTCGGAAACACCCTGCATGTATTTTGACATATTTGGATAAAATTAGATGCACCTTCTTTAAAAGAGAACACGACGACTTCGAAGTAGGAGAACGACCTCTTTTAGTTAACTTAAAGAAATATAGACTTAAAGATCTATTGAATGAATTAGATGCCAGAAGATTGAGAGGAACTTGAATCACTTCACTCTGATCACAGATACTTTCAATATTTGATCCAATCTTTGTTATCACAATGGCTCTGTGTGAAATAAATCCGCATTCTTATACGACAAATATTAAACACCCAGGCAACGTTTTAAGCCAAACAGTTGAGAAAAGATGTCTGAAGTAATAACAGGTTTGTTGAAGGCTACCTTCGGTTTGATATCGAACAAGATTCGTGATTACAGTGCAGAGAAACTCCAAGATGGAGGACTCGTTGATCAAAAGTTTCGAGGTTTGATTGTTCGTGAGTTAGACGATATTTCGTCGAAACTCGATGCCATTTCAAGGAAAGAACTCCTCACGAGCATCAGTTTTTTACAGCAAGGAATCAACCGTCTGGGATTGGCTTTGGAAGAGACTTTTAAGACCATGGACCAGCCGACAGCCGGATTACCCATCGCTGGGGCAAGCTCAAACGAAACGAAACCAGCTCAGTCAGTTACGGTTGAAGAAGCAGTCGCTTTAGCCAACGCCATTCAGGAAGTCAAAATCATATCAAATGAACGTTTCGAGTCGGCAAATGATTATTTTAACGAAGCTGGGAAAGAAGCCAGCAGAGCATTTAATATCACGACGCTGGACATTGAGGAACGAATCCTTGCGACTAAAGTCCGCATCACAAGTGGAATACTCCCGAATTTGAACGACCCAGAACTTGCCGCAAGCGACTGTTTACAATGTCTGAGAGAATTGAATAGTGTGCCTGCCGTGCAAGATATATTCTCCGTGCACAGCAAAGGTGGAATAAAGTCTTTCATTGAAAAAAAATCGCGAACCGAAATCGTGGAAACCGTAACGATGATAAACTTGATCTTGGCTGATTTCATCACGAGGTTCACAACGCGAAGAATGAGTGTCTTTGAATGGCCAATGATAGAGTGTGGTAAGAGAGTTCTCCATCCAATTCATGATGATAAAAGCAGCCTGCCAAATATAAGAGGAATGAAAATCACACCACCCTGGGACGTTGTCGCACATGAAGAAGTATCGACGCGTTATGAGCAAACGCACAATGGACAAATCCTTTATTTCCTTACTGATAGATGCGTTCTTAAAAAACTGGACAAAACAGGTGAGCAGCAAATGTACACTATATTTCCTCCTTTTGAAGAGAACAGTGAACATTCTCAGTTTACCGATGAAGACAAATTTGCTCGTACGAGAATCCATGATGTAACCGTCGATGAAGATGGCACAGTGTACGCTCTTTCTCGCAATGACAGGTTAGAAAAAAAATTGTCGGTGTACAGCGCGGATGGAAGCACACAACATCATTCATTGAAATTCCTTGAAGCGAAAGACTTTTATAAATCTCCATACGCAATTGCGCTGACCAACGACAAGAAAATTGTCATTACTGTCAAACAACCTAAGTCAAATATCAAGATATTTTTATGTAAAAGCAATGGGGAACTGCTAAACAGCTTTGATACGGGTCCGAAGTTTCGCAGTGGGGATCATGTTGTGAAGAGTGTGTCTGTCACCAGCGATGATGAAATAGTTCTCTTGACAGAAAACTTTAAAACGCGTTTCAACATGATTGGCGTCTTTAAGGAAGATGGAAAGTTACAAAGAGCTGTTAAATTTCGTAGAAGTGATGGTAAGGATACATATGGCAACCTATTTTATAACCAAGCCATTAAAACCATTGTTGCTTTCAATTGGGACGTCCGTGATTATGACTGGAAGATGGTGATAGATTATTTGTCTGATCAAACTGCTGAACGCCAGCGTACCTACGTCCTGAATGACACCAACCTTCCAGAACATTTATCATCTTTCAAGCTAACCGGGCACACAAACGGTGCACTTGCTTTGGTAAGCATCACACATTTCCCCGCACATGTCATTCCTTTGCAAAAATCTTGTCCGTGAACTTAAACGAAAACCATTCAAATTTCATTCTGGACACCTTATATACCTTTAATTTCAATGGATACTTTGATAAAGACCTTTCTGTGTGAAATATAGTTAAAAATACGAAATGTAAATCATGATATTTGAATATTACTATAAATAAAGTTGTCCTTTTTCTGACTGTTCCTAATCGTTTCTAGTCTCCCGCGCACCAGATGTAGGTCACGTGCAAGTGACTACATGGTTTCCAATCTGTTTAAAAACTGATTTTTATATCATATATTGCGTATTTAGCCAGGAAATCATTCAAAACAACAAATCTTTTTGGCGTACCGCTTTAAGTCCGTTTAATCCAGCTTTTTTAAAGACGAAAAACTGGAATAAAATCATACGGCGCTTTCTTTTATACGGTAAAATGGCCAAAGCAGTCCTGTTGTATTAATTCAGTACAGACAGATTACTGGTATTTTAGAATGTTTCAAGATCTCGGCATTTAAGTATATCGTTATTCACATCTGCCCAGCACGGAAAATGCAGTTTCACCGCTATATTCTTAACGAAATATACTCAATTGCAATTCAAAATATATGAACAGTTTGACAATATTGGCCGGTTAAAGGGAAACGTCTAAAGAAATCATAACTATTCTTGCCGCTTTGTTTGTTAAAGGTATTTTGGTCTCTCAAATCCATCATAACAGTTCATTTTCCCGCCTTGCAAATCTCTTGCTACGAATATTGAATGACCGGTATTTTGGTCGAAATTTCAACGAATGAAAAGTTAGATACGTCGATATGGCGTCTTATTAACGAAGCAGTTTGATTCCGTTTTGGAATTCAAAACAAACGTAACAAATGTGAGCAAACTTTAACACACAGGATGTATAACAGAGGAGAGTCTTTGTAATTCAAATTAAATAAACAGGGTGAGTAAAAAAATTGATTACTGTGTGTGAAAAAAATTGACTCGGTGTAAAATAAATCTGCATTCTTTTACGACAAATATAAAACACTGACGCAACGTTTTAAGCCAAACAGTTGAGAAAAGATGTCTGAAGTAATAACAGGTTTGTTGAAGGCTACCTTCGGTTTGATATCGAACAAGATTCGTGATTACAGCGCAGAGAAACTCCAAGATGGAGGACTCGTTGATCAAAAGT